ATGATTGTGACGTTTGTCTTATCAGGGTTTTCTTTTCCAGTTCATGGCTGTGTTGGTGCAATTTCCAAACCAGCAAAAGTAGCTCTGGCCATGTTATTTCAGTGTAAATGCTCTGGGACAGGCCAGAATGAGATAAAATTGTCATGCATTTTTGTTCTGCAAAGGCAAGTATTTACCTGGAACTACTCATGTAGGTAATTGGACACTTCTTTGTGCCCAAAGAACCACAAACTAAAATGGGATATGGCTGGTCCATAGCTGTGAGGAGTTTTCCCTACATGTCCAGAGAAGAGCATAGTGGTGACTTCATTTTCCCTGTTTTGGGCTGAAAAGATGAGGTAAAGGGCAAAGATGGGTTGTATGAGGAAACACAAAAAGTTAGTGTCAGATTAAGGGCAGTAGGAGACTTTAAGGCTCAGAATGCCTTGACTGCTTTAGGATGTTCTCAGACAAGGGGTAAAGGGCTAAATGCATGTTAAACCACCCCTATCTTGGCCTTATGGTGACTGACAATGTACCAGGGACAAGACAGCTAACAGAATATTGATCTCTGGCTCTTCTGTGAATAGAACCAATGTGCTTGTTTCCATGAGGATTAGCAGGCTGTGAGGGGAGGAGGGATGTGCTGTACCTGGTGGTTTAGCTCCCACTCAGCCCTGGCTGTGTGTCCAGGAAGCCAGCAGGGCTCAGAGGACACAGCAGCAGCTAATGAACCACTCAGCTCTGCCTGTCAGAACCCTCATGGCTGACATTATCACCAGGGACCTCACTGCCCCTTCCTTCCTGAGCATTAATCACATGAAATCCAATTCTCCAGAGCTCCAAATGTTCCAAAGGCACAGATGTATTTTGATCTGGGATTCTGATCTTTAGTCCATTTACCTCAAATGGAAATCACCCTTAGAAAGAGCAAATTTCCAGATTCTACTCTGTGATTAGCCACAGGAAACTCAGTCAAATTACCTTGGATAAATGGACAGTGCTACATGAAATTAATAACTCTCAGCAGCCTGCAGAGAAATGTGAAAAGGATATTAACAACTGGAATTGCTTGAGTATAGCAAAATAAAAGCTTTTAATAATAGACAAAATACATAACAACCCATAGACTAGAGGCTCCTGTTTTCATTTGGTCCCAGACACAAAGGTTTTAATTTTCAAATGGGTGTACATGGCAAGACAATAATGGCTGGATGCTTCTATTCACTCTTGATTTGGGGCTGATTATTACAGTCTGCTCAGCAGCTGGGTGGGATGCTGACTGCTCTCAAGTCCTATTGCAAATGAGGATTTTGGAGCAGGGATCTCATTACTTCTGAGATAGCTATAATCTTATCTGCCCACTGAAAAGGCTAAATACATTATTTGTAGCAGATGAGTCTCCCTGCTACTATTGTTGCATCCATTTCAAAATCGGTTTTTCAGCTTTGCAAGTGTGGTGACACAGAAATACAGGTTGTTAATGCTGTGGGCAAACACAGACTCCTACTTGCAGATAAAAATATGACAGGAATAGCTCTAGTGGGTTTGCCCACTCAGTTCTCCTTTCTAATGTGACATTGCACCCACCTGAATAATTGTTCAGCCTTTAGTCTCTTTGCTGTGGTGGCTGCACAGCTGCTCTGTTGAGAAGTTGGCTGCTTTGATAAAAAAAAAAAATTCTTTAGAGGGAGTTTGATGATTTGGTATGTTGCCATAGATCCCTCGAGGCCATGGCTAAAAAGGAATTATTAGGGCACCCTAGTTTGTCTCTCTTGGCTCATTGATAACTTTGCAGGGCAAAGTTGCTTCTTGTGTTTGTATAATGAGGTTGCACAACAGAGCTGGAGGTAAAACACCTCTATAGGTAGAGCATATAGAAAGTGGTTTGCTTCATCTCCCACAGAATGAACTGCAGTCAGGATTTTCTAACTGCTATCTGTGCTAGACATTTTTAATTGAAGCACAGATCAAGTGGAATCCTTTTCTCAGACTCATACACAAAGTGCTCAGCAAAGAACAGAACCCTGTTCTTTTAAAGAAAGGCTTCAGAAAACAGCTCTGGGGAATATGTTTGGGCTTGGCTTCCTCATCACTCCTCAGTGAGTGACATCAATTATCCAGCTGCCTGGCTCCAAGGAACAGAGAAACTACACTGCTCCAAGTGAAGCTGTGCCGAGTTCAAGAGGCAACATATTTCACAGGACCATACCTGTGAAACATTCCCCACTCAGCCACTGCCCCATTCCCCTCTGCACCTTCTCTGAACTTAATGATGAATTAGTCCCCTTTTTCAATGGTTTCATTTAAACCTTCACTAACCTCCCAGAAGAGAGAAGAGGTTGTAGTGGAGGAAGCCAGAACACAACATCCAGAAATACAGTGTGCATATTGTCACTATCTAAGTAGAGCAGAGCTTGAACCAGCTCTGGCCACTGCAATTTAGGGATCTTCAATACACCTGACAATATTCCACACCGACACTCACGTGCAGTATCCTTGTACCTGCATCCTAGAACTGACTTCTTCTCTCAACAGAGAAGCTGTACAGTTATTGTGCAGTTTAACTGTGAGGCAGGAAATGCCTGCACTTGCTGCTTGCACCCAGCTTGCCATGTCACCCTGTCAAGCCAATTACTTAAATTAAAGTTTTGTCTGGCCCTTCTTGACAACACAGCCTCTAACAATGAAAATATGTATGATGATGATCTGGATGCAGGAGGTGGAACTCATTGTTTTCCAACGCTCCTGCTATTACTATCAGTTTCACATGAAAGTAGGGCATTTTCTTTGGGAAAAGCAACACAAAAGTGTCACTTGGTTTCACTAAAATAGTGGGTTTTTTTGCTGTTCCCACTCTAATGCTTTTCTTCGTGCTTGAAGAGTTTAGTCCAGTGCTCTGGGAGAGAGATGCAAACACTGCTAATTGCACTAAGATTAATATTCTAGGAAATTTAAGCAAAGCACTCCACTGGCAAATTCATTAGGCAGCAGAATAATCCCACTGGGCAAGTACCATCGTGTCAAACTGGTTTTAGTCATGGTGGAAATGTTTTGCTCTTTATGCCAAAATGCTTGCAGAATCTGACCTAACTAGACAGCCTGCAGGAACAATGGAGACAAGTCCATGAGTAACTGATACAATTACAAAGGCAACAGAATATCAGAAAATGGTTGGGGACAGTACATTACATTAAGCAACATTTTCACAGATCCTACATGTTTACAAACCAGACCTTGTCCTGCTCAATTCTTCATTGGAAACTTCTCTGCAGCTTTCCAACAGCTTCCTTTCTGCTCAGCAAGAATAAGGAGGGATGCAAAAACAAACAAGGTAGATCATTTATGCAGCTCCTCTGCTTTTTGTTGTACTGTGGCTATGAAAGAATTAATAGCTATTTTAGGAAATGAAAATCACAATTTTTCTATCATCCTTAAGACTACAATTATTTTATTGGACAGTATTTGCTTTCTTTCCCTCTGATCTTCCAGAACTGGACTTCTCAGACTTTTTCCCAGTAAAGGTCTTGTCTGTCCTCAACCATCTTCACAAAATCCTGCCTCCAAATAGGGAAATAATAACATACACAGAAGTTCATAATTGCTTTTCTCAGCCTCAAAATAACCTAATTTGTTTTCTCCCCACTGCTAGCTTTGTTTGCATCTTTTCTAGCTTTAAAGGACAGTTCATAGAGAGGGAAAAATTATACACAGTGACTGCTGAGTGGTTATAAATTCTGATTTGGGGCATGCTGCTTTGATTCAAGTAACTGTCCACAGGCCTGCAGGAAAATGGCTTTAAAGAGAAAAGTGGAAAATCCGAACCTCTCTATACATTCAGCAGCTCATAGCCCAGCCTCAAGCTCAGTAGCAGGCAAGTGTCAAAAATAGTCTCTGTTCCTGCAGACAAGGCTTTCTGGAACTGAGTATTAGCTATATGAGACAGAAAACCTAGACAGTACATTCAGACATAGAAGAAGAATTTGTCTGCTGCTCTCAAAGTGCATACACTTTATGTACTGTTGTTTAATTTTTATGGGGTGAAAGACGATTTCCAACAGTGGTGATTTTTTTTTTCTTCTCTCAAGACTTTACAATCTCTCAAACAAGGAAAGCTACAGCTTGTCTTGAAAAGATACAGCTCTTGAAAATGAACTGCCCGTGGAAAAAATGCAGTAAAAATGTTGCCTTGCAGTGGAACAAATCCAAAGGATAATCAGAGTCATTTCCTAAAGCCAGCTATTAAAAAAAAATCTCTTCCAAGACCTTCACCAGAACCCAGAGATATATTAATACTGAGATACAAGCACTTGCACATCTGACACTTATTACTTTTCTTGTGTTGTTTCTACCCCAGGACATACCTGACTCTTGAATTCACCCCTGCGTAAGTACAGAAGTGACCAACCTTTCTTTCAATTTTATCTTTCTCATAGACATATTCACTATTACTTAGGCTATACAATTTTTCCATCATTCAGTACATTAATAACCTTATGAAAGCACACAGTTGCTGTAAGAAATCTGGATTGCAATCCAATGAGATGAGAAGTGTGGTATTAGGCTTTTGTTTCCTGGAAGGAATGCATATACAAACCACTGCAATCCAGTACCTCTAGACAGAAATGGGAACTTGTGCTGCTACTCTGTTTATCATTTTCTCCTCTGAAATTCAGAGGGTCTGAAGAGCAGCAATAGCTGTGCCTCCTCCTGAGCAGCAGGCAGGTTCAGCATAAATTTATTGATTACCAGGTCCAGTTACTGAAACTGGAAGGCAAGTAATAGACAGCCTGCATCTGCCTGTCATGGCTGTGAGACTGATGACTTTGAATACAGCCCAGGAGTCTACAGCCATGCTGAAGACCCACCCACACATGATGAACTTGGACTTCATCAGAACCGAGCCAATGCCAACCACATGGTCCATCAAGGAAATTAAGATGTCCACAAAACGTGACCTGGAACAATTCCATATAACGTTATACCAATATAAAAAATGAAAAAAAAAAAAAAAAAAAAAAAGCTGAAAAACTGCAGAAGAGCTGCTAGAAAAATCTACAGTAAAAAATAAGCACTTTCTATATAAATATCTCTCTGTATTTACTATACCCAAGTTGATCTCTCTTTTATTACATTTCTATACAAAACTGGTATTGGCTCAGTTCTCAAATAAAGCTCTCACCTCCACGCAATTTGCATCCAAACTTTCTGCCATCAAGACTTAAGATGATTAACTTGCATTTCATTTCCATGACTGTGGCAGCACTTAATCATCAACAAAGTCTCTAGTTATATGTATTTATATAGATATACATGTATATATACACACATACATACATACACATGACAAATACTGTTGAAGATTTCCTTTCTTCCAGTGTTTGTAGTGACAGTCATCCTAGAAGGTGAAGGCATACACCACTCCCACAACCACAATATTTCCAATTGTTGCTATTATTGCAATCCATAACAAAATGGCATCATTTGAAGAACGGGATGTCTCTTCTGGTGGATTCTGCATGGAAGAAGCTGCATGGACGTTGGCTGATGAGTTAAACAGGGAGTACTCTGTACTAAAGTCCTCGTTGGGTGAGTCCATAAAGGCTCCTCCCATAACAGGAAGCTGTGAAGAAAAACATGGCAGAATCAGACTGAAAGCTAGTATCTGCTTTTGCATTGTCTCCAAGACACTATTAAAGAATAACCATTAGCTAACTTGCAAAATTACTGAGATTTCATGTACATGGTGCTAACCTGTCAGGAATATCACAAACTATAATATTTCTCCAATTTCTGTTGGAATCAATATTATTGATGAAAACCTGCATATAATACATGCAATATACAGAAGAGCTGGCATGCAGGCTTCAAGTCAGCCTAAGTAATCATATGCATTTAGCAGAGATACCCATATACACAAAGCACTCACATACCAGAATTTGAGTTGATAGCAACAGGATTGTTTTGTGACTACCAGCAAAGGTATGGTGTCACTGCAAGACATTGCACAAGCACAGCAAGGATCTGATGCAGAGAATTTGTTCTCTTATGTATCACTCAGAAGCAAACTCCTGGTTTATGTAGAGATCATGTAAAAAGTTCTTACTGTAAAAGATGTGGAGTGTACTCAGTGCACTAACTTCACTTGTAAAACACACCAGTGCAACAATCCAGGATTTATAAATCGATACAAGGGAAAACTTCAAAATGGATTTTGAAAGGCTCCATCACAATAACTTCATTCTAGATCACAAAACCTATTCTTCAGGGTTCAAGAACTATTTTACTTCTACATAGTGGTATAAAATATCCTTCTGCAAATGAATGGATTCCTCATTCAGACAAGAGAAGGATATCTACTGCAGTACAAAGACCATGTACAACTAAAAAAGGTTCACACAAAAGCTCTTTGCTTCCATCCTTGTCCCTTGTATGTTTCAGATTGCAGAGCTGTAACAGTCTCCCCTGACTCACTCAGTGCAGGCTCCTAGTCTCATGTAAGTAGAGGACAATGTTTCAGAAAAAGCTGCAGAACATCTCTTTCACATATCTATAAATGCTCAGGACACACGTTTCTGAATCTCCTGTAAAAAACCACGAGCAGTGGTTTCCACACTGCTGCTGTCGTCCTCCAACCTTTAGACACAATCTCCTATTTTACACCCTATTCTTAAATGCCTTTGGGGTTTTGGTATTATTTTTCACCTTTCTCAACAGGGCTCTCTTCTACTCTAACTTCAGCTCTACTGCTGAATGTACCACACCTGTGAATAACAGAGGAACAAGCCTTGCCTTCATTCAGCCATACCACAGAATGCTGCTATACCTTCAGCCCTAAACTGCCCTGTCAAATACTCACTGGGCTGAAAAGTCATCTCTTTTAGCACCCTGCATCACATTTTGATTGTCTCAGTAACCTCTCCCTTTGGAACCAAACAAACCCATTCCGACTGTGTGCAGCTGTGCTATGGAGGTGCTGAAATGGACAGCATGTGAGGATAAACCATCTCTCCTCTCTACACTGGCTGTAATCTATAGATAACACCAAAGACTTTGAAAAGTCTGAGAATGAAGTAATTTTTTTTGCTTGCCATGCATAATGTTTTAGAGAGACATAAAAGACAGGCTCCTTTTTAAAGCTGACTGCTGAACAAATTTCATCTGTACTAGAAAATATCATGTCACATTCAAAATTAAACAGAGAATGATGAAAGACCACAGTGGATATGTCAGGCTACCTAATCCACATTAAATGAAATTATCTTTGATATCAGATATGATTAGACAAATGCAGTTTACAAGAAACCAAGCAGGAAATTGCAAAAGCAAAGTCTGTTATGTTCTCCCTGCATCAAAGATTTTTGCTGGCAATTTCAACACAGTGTGGTTTAAAAGAGAGCAAAAGCTTCCATTTCAAAAGCCTAGCTTGATCTTTTGAATCCAATTCCACTGGCCTTTTTTATGTCTTGGGATTTGATAAGGAAAGCATTTCTCAGTTTTATCAAAATTTCTTTTTATGCAGAGATTGCCATAAAAGGCAGCTCTGACTTCAAACAGAAGTGTGTTTATGCAGCAATGATGCCATGAAACAGCTACAGAGACTCTAATTAAAGATCTCTGCTTCAAGTGACAAGAATACATTTGCCATACTGGCAGCAAAATGCTCAAGCAGAGGTGCTTGCCTCCTTAGCAAATCACTCTAAGGCTATCAGCATCTAGGACAGTCAGTTCTGCAAAATCTTTCAACTGAATCATCCCAAGTATAGAGGTACACACACATATGCATGTGCCCAATATGGTGGGAGGTCATAAGCACTGTTCTGGTGCTATCTGATTGATACCTGGGTTTTGGGCCACACATTCTGTGCTCTCAATGAGTTATTTGAAATGACAAGCTTCCACCCTGTTAGTTCCCTGCTGCTGTCACAAAGGCAGGAAGCATCCGTGTAGCAGCACAGCTACCCAGCACGCTGTAAATTATGTCAAATCTGAATCTCCTTGTACTGTCTAAGGCTCAAACAAGCTGTCTGCACCATCTGAGGGGAGCACATGGTGAAACAGCTCATCTGAATCTCTGAAAGACTTGAGGTGACCTGGTGGTAAAGCACTGACATTCAGCACCTGGCACAGGCTCTTTCTGTAAGACTGACTTCCAGTTTTTCTGTTTGTAGGTCAGTAGCACTTCACCACAGATATGGAAATAAACCTTCCTGCCAATTTCCCATTTGCAAAAATCATCTCTTGCTAAATGTGCATTCCCCCTTCTCACTGCTCCAGCAGCCTCACATGAGGAATGACCATATGGTGTCCGAGAGAAAGGCCATCTCCCTTAGGTGTTAGCTCCAACAGTGGCCATAAATAGATGCTTAGGAGAGTAACAGCACAACAGGAGAAACATATCTGATGCTATCCCTTAATAACTCACAGCCTTTGACTGTTTTCAGCTTAGGAAGTTCATAAGCCAGACACTATTGCTATGGATTTAATAACTTGCAAAGAATTTTGCTACCATGAACTTGTCTAGACTCTATCTGAGCTCATCTGAAGTTGAGCATCCTTCTCAATCTGGTCTCTTGGTGCCACTTAACAGTCAGGGTTGCTCAGTGATTAGAGTAATGTAAATCATCCTTGGGAGATATGCCATCTCTCCATGGGAGAGAGGGATGATTAGTATCAATGGCAATCTGTCTTTTTGGTAGATTAAATTCAGTGAAATGAATCTCATCCCCAGTCTCGATGTCTTCATTCTCTCATAAGATACAGTATCTTCCCTCTGTAGTCTTATTTGAGATTTTACTTATTTGAGACCTCCAGACCTGACACTAATGGGAGTTGTGAAGTGCTTGTGATTAACAGTAGACCAAGGACAGAAACCTGCAATGCTCTCTGTGACTGCTCTATTTTTCTGCCTGTGCCTCTGCAAAGCAAATATGCCAGTTTACATCATCCAAAACCTTCACCCATGTTACAGCCATTACAGTGACCTGCAGTCTGTTTAGCCCACGAGGGTATTCAGGCAAGGCTGCCACCCTCCCCAAGAGCACTGGATGAGGAGGCCAGGGCAAAGGGTTAACTGGGAAACAGACAGTGAGGGACAGGACAGGAGCAGGCGAGGGGTAACGCTGTTTGGAAACGAAACACTGTTTGGAAATGAAACTCCTTTCCTAGAGACTGTGTTGACATTGTTAAGTAGCACCAATAGTACATCGCTTGCTAAATGGCTTCTGGGACTGGCAAAGAAAGAATTGAAATCATTAAATAGCAACAGGCAGAAAACCAAACAGCAAAATGTCAAGTGGTAATGAGAACACCCACTGTGCCGAATACCTCCCACTGGCATGCTCTGGGGTCACGAGGAGAGCAGACCCTTGAACAGTTCTGTAATGCACTTTCTAGTTAGCAGAAAAATCCTATTTTATAACCAAAGTGATCCACAGGAATGAAAACCAGCATGTCAGGTACCAGTCACTGATACTGTAAGTATGACAGCATTCTTAAGCAGCATCATATAAAATCCACCCCCTTAGCAATAACATAGCTCCATTTCTTTGAGAATCAGGTGTCTGACATTTTTTCGTAGTCAGCTAGACAATTGTGACATTTGGGTGCTGCTACCTTGTTGGGAACCCAAGTTTAGCATAGATATTTGAAAGCATAGCTGAATCTTCTAATGAGAAACTAAGAAACCTCAGCAGCAGCTTTCACAGCTCTGCTGTATCCTTGCTCTGGTCTACCCAAGCATCACTCCAGGAGTGGGATGCTAACAGATGAAATATCACCACAGCTCAGGTGTTTTGTAAAATCCATGTTGCTACTTCAGAATGTCTAACTTTCCAGTGTTTCTTTTTTGTTAAATTTTAGATATTTTTACAAGATGGTATGATTTGAATACATAAAGTGAAATTATTATTTCCTTCTGCCCTGGTAGCATATGATCACTGCAGTACATATTTGTGTCTGAAAACATTCCACCTGCAGTCATCAATTAATCTAACACAGTTGCCAAAGGCAGTAGCAATGTATGGGTTCGCAAATTCACCACAACAACATCTTAATTCTTAAGCTCTTTTTAAATGAATGTTTTTTTACTAAAGAGATACCCCACATGACCAGTATTCTGCCCACAGTAATTCTCTTGTGTCTCACAGAAAAATGCATATATAGTCTTCTTATCTAAAGCATGCACTGTAAATGAAGATGTCCTATTGGCTATTAATTATTTACAGGTAATATGTGGAGAACCAAGTTCTTCTGTTCACTGTTTGCCGGAATATCACCCTACTGTTTAGAATGAAGACTGGGTGCACAGTGACAATCAGGACTTGTTCTATGTTCACTGCAAGTGGATTCTTTTGAACACGTTAAACCCACACAAAAATTAACCACCACCTACGGCAATCCTCTTTAATTTAATTAAATATGTCTAATTCTGAAGAGGAGGATCCATGAAAATGTTTTATGCAGTTAGTTTCAATTTCTCATTTTAATTGATTTAGATTCCTGCTCCACCCTGAAATCACAGTCTTAGGTTGACATGCTTAGAAGAAACAGCTGCTTATTTTCAAAATATAGTTGTCAAAATGTTCACCCTACCAGTGGCAATGGAAAATTTTTACATGAGGC